CAGGATAAGTGATAACTTCTAGAACATAAGTAAAGATTAAAACCAAATAATATGTTCTAATGTTTAATAATGATGCGCGCAAAACTCCACGAAAACGAAATGCTGCGTGATACTGAAAATAAAATACGCATAAATATTAAGTGACTGAAATATTTAAATAATATTCACTTAGAAAAATAAATAAAAAATCACTCAATCACATATGTCCCCTCCATACGTAATGACGTCCTCGTCATTACACTTGGAGCATATATACTGTAATAAATAAATCATCTGAAACAAATACACATACTTACTCTGAATCCTTGTCTAAAATAGCATTCAACATTGCCCTGCATACCACTGAGGTGGTTTTGTAGTTCTCTTGGATCTGCAAAGGGGAGCTAAAGGGGCTATGCTGATCGAGTCTTCTACATTATCAATGGTTCCTTTGTTCTCATTATCATCCTGTTCTGTATGTTCCATAGAAAATGAACCTACTTCAGCAGCTCCGCCACCTATCTATAGACGGGTCTTCACTAATATGATCTTCAGGTATGGAATCTGTTTCCTTCATGGAATAGGAGGCATCCCTCTCGGCTTCCATATTCTGTCCACTCTTGTCATTCTGATCGTTACCAGTCCGATCAAGAGGAATATTTGTCACTTGCCTAGGCACTAACTTTCTTGGAGGAAATTCCCACAATATCAGATTCATCATCAAAATCATGGTCCTGATTTAACTCAAGAACTTCTGCTTCTCTGTTGTTATCATGGACATTTCTCTTCCTCCTTGGAGCTGGAACAGGTTTTGGTCATGGTCATCAGGGTTAAAAGTCGCCACTCGGAGCAGTAAATTCCTATAAAGAGTGCGCTGCCTCCCTAAACCATTTTCCTTCTATACAGAAAAGACAGGGATTTCAGGTGTTGGCTGCACAGCAACAACATAGGGATTTTCTTCCCATCTATTGGAAAGTTTGTGCTTTCCATCGAAAGCCAAGATCTTGACAAGTACGGTATCCCCTACTTTGATAGTATTTCCTCTAGCTCTTTGGTCGAAGAACTTGTTTTTCTTGGGCTTTCTTTGTAGCTTTTGCTGCTAACTCATGTGCTTTCTCAAGTCTTTTCTGTAGATCTGTGACTCAGCTAGTCATCGGTTGTTTCTTGGTAGTGGTGTTGTTTAATCCAAATGCTATGTCTACAGGTAACCCGGGTTGTCGTCCAAACATCAAGAAGTAAGGAGTATGGCCAGTGTGTCCTGTCTTAATGAGTTGTATGCATGCACCATTGGTCCGACATACTTCTTCCAGTTCTGTTTTTGCTCTGATGTTAATGTTCCCAACATCTGGAGTAATGTCCTGTTAAATCTCTCTGTGAGACCATTGCCCATAGGATGATAGAGTGTTGTTCTTGATCTTTCTATTCCTGTGAGATAACAAAGTTCTTTAATAAGAATCGAAATTTGTTCCTTGGTCTGGGTGTAGTCGTTTTGGAAGGCCATAATGAAGATCAAAGTTGTTATAAAAAGCTTAGGCAGTTGTTTTGGCAGTTTGAAATCCTGTAGGTACAGCAACGGCATATTTCGTAAAGTGATCAGTGATTAGTTAAATGTGTTGATATCCGCCTTTTGAAGTTTCTAAGTCAGATAATCCAAACAGGCTAATTCTAAAGGTTCTGAAGTTTGTATGTAGACTAAAGGAGCTCTGTCAGTAAGTGGTGATTTTCTCAACAGGCATCTTTTACAACCTTTAATCCATTCTTCGATATGATATGTATACCGGGCCAGAAAAATCTCTCTCTAATGAATGACGTTGTCTTATCTCTCCCTGAATGACCAATGTTGTTATGGAATACTTTAAAACTTCGTTGACTAAGTCTGGAATTATAATAAGTTGTTGATGTGTCTCGGAATCTATTGTTGTTTCTCGGTACAGCTTATTGTCGATGATTTTAAATTCGTCGAAGTTCTTTCTGAAGATTGTCGACGTCGATTCTTGTATTGGTGGTAGCTCATGTTTTCTTAGAAATCTCTTCTGCTTCACAAGGTATATCCAGTCTCTTAGGATAGGATCCTGATGTTGTGCCTTCTCAATATCAATATGATGTATGTGCTGGCACTGTACTGACATCAAGGGCTGAAGAGTTTCATGATTGAAACTTAAGCTCTCTATGTAGGGTTCTTGAGGCTGAACGTTGATGCTTGATATGGTCCTTGTGCAGTCTTGCGAGATTGGCAAATAATCCTTATGTTCTACAGCAGGTAATCTTGAGAGCTTATCAGCGTCTGAGTTGTTACGTCCTGGTCTGTAGAGAATATCAAAGTCATACGCGCCCAATGCTGCCACCCATTGATGCCTAGTCGCGTCCAGTTTTGCTGTTGAAAGTACATATGTTAAAGGATTGTTGTCTGTTAAAACTGTAAATTTCTTGCCAAATAGATAATCCTGAAATTTCTCTGTAATTCCCCATTTCAGCGCCGAAAATTCCAATTTATGTGCCGGATAGTTGCGTTCTGATTTACTTAATCCTCTACTTGCATAGGTAATTACGTGGTTGATTCCTTCCTGATTTTGATAGAGGATGGCTTCTAAACCAACTGAACTGGCATCGGTATGAATCTCAAATGGTAATTCGAAATTAGGATAGGATAGGATAGGATGGGTGGGGATGACAAGCACTGTTTTAGAGTCTGGAAAGCTTCCTCCTGCTCTTGTTCCCATTGCTACTCAGGAAACCTAGCCTTCTTTTTCATAGTTCTCTTTGACCTGGTGGTGGATGGTATTATATTTGTGAGGGATCGAGTTATTTCGGAAAAGTCGTAAATAAATTTCCGATTGTACCCCACAAATCCTAAAACTTTCTGACCTCCTCTGGTTTTGTGGGTGTAGGCCATTCCTTGACCTTCTGGACTTTGTCATCATTAGATTCTATTTCCTCAGCAGAGACAATGTGGCCGACATATTTGACTCTCCTCTTAAACAAAAAACATTTCTTTGGTGATAATTTGATCCCACAATCCTTCAGACTTTGGAATACCATCCTTAATCTTTCTAAATGTTCATCAAAATTATCTCCAGAGAATAAGATAGCATCATCAGGTAAATTGAGCAGACGTGATGATGGAGATCCCATAAACACTCCTCCATTAGTACGTTGCTGGAGCATCAACTAATCCCATTGCCATTCGATTATGTTCAAAGAAACCCAAAGGACCGACAGTGAAAGCAGTTCTCTCCTTGTGTTCTTCTGCTATAGGGATCTGGTAATATCCTGACTTCATATCTAAGACAGAAAACCAAGTATTTCCAGAAAGCGAGACTTATATCTCATCGATACGAGGAAGAGCATAGTTATCCTTTTTAGTCTTGCTGTTAAGATGACGATAGTCTATGCAGATCCTTAGTTGACCATTCTTCTTTCGTACTAGGACGACGTTTGATGAGAATGGTGAGTGAGATCTCCTAATAATTCCGGCTGCTAATTGTTGCTCTATGTGCTCTCTCACTTCATATATCATAGATGGTGGAATGCTAGGGATACGTTGCTTAAAAGCCGTTTCATCAATAAGCTCGATTCTGTGTTTTACAAAAGGATAGTATGCAATGTCAGTGTCTCCTTTTTGAGAATAAGGAATCAAAATCATTTGTAATTCTTCAATTTTCTGTAACTGATTCTTTTAAAGTTCATCTCAAGGCAGGTCAATTTTCTCTAATATATCTGATGTTTCTGATGAGTTGTTCCTTGGAAAGTTTTGGACACTGACTTGTTGCACTTCAAACAGTAACGCATGAGGGTAGACTGTCACGTTGTTTGTAGTAACGTTGTTGACGTGCACTAGTACTGGAACATTCCTTACAGTATCATTTGTGATAACACTGGGCTCTATATCCAGATCAGCAGGAATATGAGACTTGACTGTAGGTGACAGCATTCCACATACAGGATGGTAAGGTAGTTGACAGGTTGTTGTTGGGTTGTATAGTCACAGATCTCTCCTCAGCTGACTTCACCAGTTCAAGAACATATGAACGCCGAGACAACTCACGTTCACGCAGTGTAATGCAACGAAAAGCAATGTGCCAAGGTGTGTATAATTTGGCTTTCTGACACCAAATTTCTGTTTTGTTTCCATCAGAAGTACAGAAAGGATGTTAGTCCCAATAAGAACTGGTACTAACTCATGGTAAGTAGTCTCATTCACGATGAGAAACAAACACTCGCTCGTCTCTGGTGCATCAGAAATGCCTTCAACTTGTGGTTCACATGATATTACCCCATGATATGGCAATTCTGTCCCATCAGCACACCCTAGAGTAAGTAGGGAATCAACTGGCTGCAGAGGAATATCATGTAGATGGGTATCATAAATTTGCGACTTATAGTCGAAACAGCAGATCCAGTATCGATGAGTGCCTTTGCCAGCACACCTTGTATCTGCACTTCTATCTCATTAGATGACCCGACAAGAGTCGCATTCTGTCTTGATATTTGTTTCCTAGTCCTATATGGAATAAAATCATGTTGACGTCTTGAATGGTCCAGTCTAATATGGCATCTTGTATCTTAGTGTCAATATTGACCACATCTGTTGCATAAAATATGTGAGATGATTTCATTGGGACGGGACAAGATTCCTCCTTAAAGCCGCCAATTTGTCCTTCATTAGTGGCTTCTATTAGTTTAAATTAAAATTTCTACCACTGTATCCACAATATCCTCCTCTGTTTTTGGTATGTGGATCCTCAGTTTCCTCTCTATCCTCTTCTATTTGGATATGATGATCCTTGACTTCTGCCAGAGTGTTGATAACCTCCACGGTTTCCTGAATAGTTGTAATTTACTGTATTGGTCTGTTCAGTTCTAGGAGCAAGATAATCCTTTGATTTGGATTTCTTAACTTCACGCTCCATGTCTCCAATTCTTTTGTCTATTGCCTCTAATTTTCTTAGGATCAGGTCCATAGAGGAATCTTTATCTCCAATTTCGGATACTTGAGGTTTCTTCTTGTCATTTGATGATGATTATGGTGCTGATAACTTCATGTCAAGCACAATGGTACGCAACTCTTTTCTCAGTGTTTCAAAGTCATTGATGGTGTCATACTTATAGCGGCTTGCATTGCAGAGACTGTTATCACACAACCCAGACCATAATTTTGCTCTCAGCATCTCATTCTTCACATCATTGCTGATGGCTTTCCTTTCAATGCATGGCTGTAAGATGCCTTCCAATTTCATGCCAAACCCCACTACACTTTCTCCTTTCTCCTGTTTTGAAGCATAGAGTTGCTGAATCAGTTTCTCACTAGGGTACACATGTAGATTTACCATAGACTCCATCCAGTTTGAATTATATCTGCTGAAGAGTTGCGCATCTGTGGGTAATGTAAGCAGCAGACTCCAAGCTTTACCATTTAAGGAGGATCTTATTGCTTGAAGGATTATGTGAGTTGCACAAGCACCATCCCTGAAAGCACACTGTACACCATTTTTCCAAACATCGAATGCTTTCTCATTTTTCTCCTCTTCAGAAAATACGGGAAACCGAGGGAGAACAGTCGATGAATCAAATACAAATCCTGAGCATGTATTTGAATGTGAAGGTCGATTGTGTACCTGACGTTCCAATTTGACTGTCGACGATTTGCAAACTTTTGGCCTAACTCCACCCTCTGCAGCTGGTGTGCTTTGGTCCAAAGGTGTCATCAATAGCTGGTATTCATCATTTGTCAAGATCTTATAATCTGTGTGCTCAGACAAGTAATCCATCATACGTTGGATTTGTTGTTGATTAAGTGCATTGTCTTCAGATGAACACTTTGATCTGATGCCATGTTTTTGCTTAAGTATCTCTAACCAATAAGTATTATTGTAACTAAGCTCTAATAGTATGTCAACTTCTACAAAACTAATTTCTTAATTAAGAATCTAACTCAAGAACTATAAATAATTATAGCATTTTTACAAATCAGTTGTCAGGTTTCTTCTTTGAAATAAATTTTACAAATGATAACTAATGCTAAAAAAACTAAGACTAGAGGCTGAAAAAAATTAATTAATAAATGCTGAAATAAATTTAGAATTAAATTCTGCAAAAAAATAACTCAATTTAATTTGAAAACACTCCAACTTCTAAGTCTGTAGCTGAAAATAAATAAATTATTGATAAATAATTTCAACCTCGATCAAATGCAAAACTTAAATTGAAATTAACTATTTGGTATTTAGTGATCAAAGGTGTGTCTGTTCAAGCGTGATGATCTCCGCGACAGCACTCGTCTAGACTGGAACTTTTTAAAATCTATTAATAGCAATACACAAACTTCAACACACTATACAAACTAATGATATCAAAGTGTGCTATAAAAAAAAAACAGTCAAAAGAATTATACTCTACTATGTACACTACACTACAATACTACTACAGTCTAATTCTCACAACTAAAATACACACATATATAAAAACCAATTGATCTAGATCTCAGGTAAACACAGGTACAGCTTCAGAAAATACGCAATTACATATATAACCGACTGTAAATCAAAACATGCTATCTAGGTCAATTTGTGTATCAACCAATCACTCTCTAGATATATACACTTTACCGACAGACTCTGAATGACAGGCTGACCAAAATAAATACACCTGGCACCTAAAATATACGTTGAACGTGCTTTTGATCAAGATCAAGTAATATTTACAAACACTGATACCCAACGCTTACTTGCTGTGAGTGGTTTAGGCACATGTTATACACCGTACTACTATCGTCCAAATGTCAGCATTGTCAGACAGAAAGTAGAGAGTAAAAATGGAAACGGGAGTGTTAGTACTAGCATGCAGAATTTTATCGCGGTTCCTAACTTTAAACTGAACGAAAAAATGAGTTCAACTAAAAATTGTCAGACTGAACAAAATCAAATAAAATAAACTGATCATTCACAATGTAAATAAAAAAAAATATTCAGCTGCAGTTTAACCCACAAAGAAAAAAATATTCAGGTGTACTTGAACAGAGGTGGAAAAAATAACACAAGTGCAAAAATGGTAAGTTTACAACCTTACCGTACGTACGTACTCTCTCTGTATTTCTACTGGCCGGGCAATATTATAGGATTAAACGTTTATTTTTTAAAATTTTATCGATGTGTAAACTCTTGACATTTTACTCACAAACTAAATAAAAGTGCAATGCACTTTTATGTTATGTTAAATTCTTATAATTCCAATTACGAAGTTTTAAAATTATTTCTCTTTGAAGCCTCCGTTATTTTTGTATGGCGTAGGAATACTTTATGTCGCGATATCGATGTGGAGTTGAAACGTAATCAAGATGAACATCGATAAATTTTAACTTTAATTGTCAAAATATTCAATAAAATAAACTTATAAAAACTCTTCGAATATTGTTTAAGTCAACAACTATCATAATTACAAGTAGACTTCAGAGGAATTTATCCTTGACTATGCTGACATTAACGACAAACGCTCTAAAACGAAAGTAGCAGACCGACGACACCCTTGATTTGTTTAAAGAGGACATACCATAGGATGTAGAAATATGAATTTGATGTTAATAAGGAAAAAAGTCTGAGGTACGTTTCTCTTTCCTATCAGCTACCGAGAACTGCGCTGATTTGCTTAGTATTATATTATGAACGCCGAGAATATGACATCAGATTCAGAGATTTAAAAGCTCACACTCGCGATCTGACAGCGATATAAATATAATATCCTCGTCTGTCAATCCTGTATGTCGTCAGTTTTGTTTTTATTTAATTTCAAGTTGATGAAATTATGTAATCATTTAGCTTAAACAGACTATAGAAATAAGGATTTGTTTCATTTATTTTTACAGTAAAAGCTAGCTAGGTCAAGAAAGTAGTTGTGTAATTTGAATTTGTTCTCGTCTAATCAAAACACAGGAAATCAATAAATAAATATATACATGTATACACAAATTACTACACTAAAAGTTTTTTTTTTAATACCGGTTAGTCCATGTGCATCTTAGGCGTCGTAGTATGTCACATTCCCGTTATTGCAGTCTACTCCCGACATTGTCACAGTCCAGCAGTTCCACGAACAATAGTCACTGAGTTAATGACCACCAGTACACACACGGGATACTTCACTGAAGAAATGGAATGCAGGGTTCCAATGTGGGCGCCATTTCTGTAACCGGGTTTTCTTAGTAGACGAGACAAACGCCTGTGGCTCAGGTTTTCGTTTAGTTTATTATGAATGTTGAATGTATAAACAAACAAAGCTCTGAAAATATCAATAACAAAGTATAAATATTTAAAAAAAACATATTTCATTTATAATATTATTCATAATGAATTTAGTTACGATTTTCTTTATGATCATAGATCATAAAAGTATTGCACGTCATACTGAACATAGAAAAGTAAGAGTTATTCCCCTTACATCGAGGTCTTGAAAAGGAGAATATAAATCGAACTATTTCAAATAGAACTATCACAATAAAATGAGTAGTTCAAAATATATTTACAATAATATATACACAATAAATAGAAATAATAGCAGGTATACCTGATTGTGGATCAGGGCTAAAAAATAAGGCAAACCGATCAAAATAGCTGGTCGTGATATATAGACTCCTATTAAACGACAATAATTATATTCTATATACACTTCTGCAAAGATATATTTTAATTACATACTCAAAGAATTTATTCTTTAACCTTCATTTAATAGTGATAAAGTTGAACTCAGTATATCTTCATAAAATTACATTAAAAAAATCAAAGACGATGAATTATCGGAAAGTATAGAATAAGAATTATAGATAAAAGAAATAAAAGTCAACTTACAGTCTCAGTATTGAGGTCTCATCTCAAAATTATCTTAATATATATATATGACCAAAAATATAGGTATAACTTTCTCAACAGTCTATAGCTGCCTCACCGATACACAAAGAGATCGGCCGGAAAACGTCCCTAGCCAATCGCAAGCTTGGTTATTCAAAACGGACCAATACTATTGAATACCCTCAGGATAAGTGATAACTTCTAGAACACAAGTAAAGATTAAAACCAAATAATAAGTTCTATTGTTTTAATAATGATGCGCGCAAAACTCCACGAAAACGAAATGCTGCGCGATACTAAAAATAAAGTACGTATGAATATTAAGTGACTGAAATAATTAAGTAATATTCACTTAGTAAAATAAATCAAAATACCACTCAATCACACCCACTTTTTACAAAATTTTAAAACCGAATTACTAGCGCAATCCAATTATCCTGATTTTGGATAAAGTTTGGAAAACCTGTGACAGTGGATTTATTCGTCGTTGGGAAAGTAGTCCCGGAGAATTGACACGGTATGGAGTTTGGTAAACGTGTACGTTTTGTAAGTGTTAAAACCCTTCTGTGCGATTTTCCGGAATTTTCATGCATCCCGAAAGTTTCAGCTTAATAAGTAGGTCATTATTAAGAATAAAAAAATAACTGATAGGGAGCGGCAGCTGATTCATATTGAATAAGAAATAATAAAAGAGGTATAAAGATTTCTAAATGTGTGATATTTTTATGCTTTAATAGCAAAAAAAAAAAAAAAAAAAAAAATTGCCATGGAATATACGGAAAATAATCAAATTTTTGCGACACGAAATTTTTGTGATTCCTGGTTATGTTCTTAAGTTATCTTTTATATTACAATTAACGCGAGAATTAAATGTTCGTGAACAAACGACTTCACATATTTACGCGAAAACAAAGTTTTCTACAATAAAAAATGAATAACAGTATATGGGGTATTTTTCTAAGCGTACGTTTCCAAGATAATACTTCTTATTATACCTACAGGAATGTTCATTTAAGTTCATTTTCTTTCCTTTGTATCAAATTTTTATCAGTGTAGGTACATTTATTGATTTAATGTAAAAAAAAAAAAATAAAACCCCGATATAAAATTTTACACTTTCGTTCCATGGACACATCGGAAATTGTGATATCAACTTATTTGTCAGTACCTCCCTCGGAAATTATCCTTGCGCTGAACAAGCTTTTATGATTCGAATGAACTTAGAAACATAAAAACCAAATGAAGATGATTATGGAACATGTTTTTTGCTGCATAAAAAAAGAGAACCGATGATAAAAAAAAGTTGAATTCATACCATGTTTCATAAAGTTTTGTCTTTAGTTTGCTATAAACGTGTAGAAAAACATTCAGGCAAGAAACAGATATTTCATATTATGTGCTCAGATTATGTCGTGTCTTATTTAATCGTATGCTACTGTATTCGAATGATAATTGATCTGCATCACATTTGACAGGAATGTAATATCTTTGGTAGATCTATAAAAGCATACGGACAAGCGCAGGGATATATACGGCTAGCGAAGCTTCCATAAAGAATAACAAATTTTAAAAATTATGACGGAGTAGACGTGCATTTGGATTACATTTTTCATTTTCAATTTGCAGCTTGTGAGACGTTTAGAAGTTATAAATAGTAAAGAAGTTTAATTGGAAAATTTTCCCCAAAAGTTAATCTTACGATTCAAATCAATGTCTCTCTTAATCATTCTTATTGTTTTTCTCTGTAAAAGCCATGTAACTATGTAAAATATCATGAGATTTTAACTTAAAAACTATAATTTCTAAACAGAGGAAAATGCTTTAAGAATTCATACACTGACTGTTCTCATTGTACAGGCTTTGGTCCTGTATTTAGCCTCTTATTTTGTTAATGTGTCCCGGATCAATAAATATTAGGGAAAAATTATTGA